GGTCATTCTATGATTCTATGATTCTAATCCATAAAGGCTACTTAAGTATCCTAAAGATATTTTGTGATTTAAGATTTGGTGATTCTAATTATGTGCTGACATGCATCTTCTATAATTCTTTGATATTGTGTCAGAGATAAGGTATATGAGCAAAAAAATGCTATGCTGTCCTTGCCAGCTATATGCAAGTAACAACCCTGTTATAAATAGCCATCTGAGCCTAACGACACTATTTGTATCACTTTCTAAAAATGGAAACTGAGCACCCTATGTATTCTTGTTCCTTGCTGTGCTCTTCTGGATAGCTCTTTGAAGGCTGTCTCCTTTTTGCCAAGGCTGGGAAGATACTGGTAGGCAAATCATCCAGGCAAACTGCTAACAAAATATGTCTGCTTAGTACGTATTCAGTGTGTTAAGTGAAGTGAAATTATAGTAGTTAAGTGCCAACACCTGCATAATTTTACAGACATTAATTTAATAATGCATCCTTGGTGATAAACCAAAGTTGTACATTTCTGAACAGTTCGCTAGCTGCTGGGTGATTCTGCTCAGAATTGCCGGTCAGTAAGAGGAGGCAATGAGGTTTAAAAACCTTTGGTAGCAAAACCATGTGAACTGAGTATTGGCTTTGAGTGGAGAAACGTACAAGAAAAAAGTAAGGCTAACATTTTAGATACCTTAATGAGGATTATAGTAAGGAGCAGAACCATATGTTTTCCTTCTTTTATCTTACACAACTAAGAGATTGTTGCCATCTTACCACTAAGCTTGGGTTCCTAGGACACTGAGTAAAAGTATAATAGGAATTACTGCAAGCTAGGATCTGCAAAGGTTTGACTGTAACCTTACAGGAGTAAAATTGACAAACACTCCTGTTATGAAATAGGTTGTTCTTTACAGAATTACACTATTGACTTTCAGACTAGGAGGTTAGAACAAAGACCATACACCCTAGTGCTAACTTGAGTCTGTAATGCTGTTTTTGCAGGCAATAGGTGCAACTTTTGCAGCTATGATTGGTGCTGGAATGTTGGTCAGGTCTATATCCTATGAAGACAGTCCAGGAGCTAAACATTTGGCTTGGATGATGCATTCAGGTATGTGATTTCAGTGTTCATTGTAGAGATGTCTGTGCTTCAGTGTGACTGGATTCTTACTTTACGAAAACTTTTATTTTAAAGTAAATTTTTATATGCTGCTGTAGGAGAGTTAAGTTTTTTTATGAAAAAGACCAGTGAGAACTCCTGAATGTCAGGAAGATTTCTTAAGTGTCCTTAACATAAATCTAATATTTTTCATAATCTTCTGAAAGTCATGTTCAAGTTACACTTGAGATAACTATATTCCACATTGGGTAGAACTAATTTGTTTTATAGCTGCTTTGGTTTCGTGACTGCTTTCTGGCACTATAGCTTCTTTAAGCGCTGTTGCCTACACTTAGTATCCTTCAGCTGCACAGGGTAGGAAAGTATTTGAAAACTGACTAGAAAAAGGTATTAAACTGCAGCTTATTAGATACATGTTCCCATTAGGTATGTAAGCTGAGTCCAGACCAGTTTGTCACTAGTGATCCCCTCTTAAAATAGCAATGGCTATCATTTTTCAAAACTATTTTACCATCAATAATTTATAGTTCAGGAAATACACATGAATGTTAGGCTCTGGAATCATGTTTGCCTCTCAAGAGCCAAGAAGAAATTATGTTTATTTTAATGATTATTATTAATTTAAACAACCTAATTTGCTATTAATGGACTAGATAGAGGTCTCATACAAGACTCTAGCAAAAAGTCTGACTTACTTCCTTAACTAATTATTTACCAGAAATCTGTCCTGATTTTCAGTGTTGAGTGCTCCGATGGCTATTACGTAGTGGATTAGTCCATGCTAATTATCTCTTACCAGCTCTGTTTTGAACAAATCAATAGTTGTCTTTTAGTCTTTCTTCCAAAGACCAGGTCCCTGAAGTATTTTCCAGAGCTAGATAAAAGTGGGTCATGGAATTCAAGGTTGTCAGGTTTTTGTGCTCCCTTCTAGATAGGTGCGCAATCAAGTGCGTTGGTGTTCTGTCATGTAAGTAGATTAGTTTGAGCCATATTATCTGACTCGGGGGGGGGGGAATTGTTTTGGCAGTACCAGAACTGTTCCAAAACATACGGGTGTTTTGTTTTCCTTTGGCTAGGTGTCATGGGTGCAGTGGTGGCTCCTCTAGCCTTCTTGGGTGGTCCTTTGCTGATCAGAGCTGCCTGGTATACCGCTGGAATCGTCGGAGGACTATCAACTGTGGCCATGTGTGCTCCAAGTGAAAAATTTCTGAACATGGGAGGACCACTTGGAATAGGCTTAGGCTTTGTTCTTGCCTCTTCGATTGGTAAAATACTGTTTTATTACTGTCAGATAAAGTAGGTTATAAACTTAAGCTGCTGAGATGCAGCTCACGTTTAACTGCAGACTAGTCTGTCCACTTAAGATTTACCTTAAATGGCCCCTGCAGCTCTAGCACAGCAGAAAATACTCTGTTAAATTTGTTCTTGAAAACAAACATGAGGTTACAGTTCTGACAAGTGTTAATCTGACAAATCACCGATAGTAGTGGCTCCCATTTTTTGTTTGTAGGGAAGACAGTAAGCGTGATCTTAGTTCTTGATCTGCTTGTTCTTCTTCCGTAAGTGTTCCTAGGTGTTTTAGTTCTAGGGGCAGAAGTACTTTCACATGAAGAAAAGCACACAGGGCTCCCTAGAGTGCCGAGAATTGCTGGAGCAGGTTGCAATATGTGACATCTTTGGCTCCTGCAATAAAGCTCTTAAAAAGACACCACAAATTGAGAATTGAATACTCTTCGAAAAATTCGTGCTACAGTAACAGAAATTTTACCCAACTCAGAGTAGCAGATACAAATATTAGCTTGCTTTAATACTGTTGTACGCTCCTCTCCAGGATCCATGTTCTTGCCTCCTACTTCTGCTTTTGGTGCTGGCTTGTATTCGGTAGCTGTTTATGGTGGATTGGTACTCTTTGGCATGTTCCTGCTCTACGATACGCAGCATGTTATCAAGCGTGCAGAAACTCTTCCGTATTATGGAGTAAAAAAATATGATCCAATCAATGCGTAAGTATTCTGTGTTAACACAATGTCTATTTAAGAGTTTGCTTCAAGCTGTATCGAAGCACGCTTTAAAAACAGCCAGACCTTTTGTTTACTGTTCAAAAGTTGTATTGCTTTTAAATGTGAAGAATATTGGGTTTTAAAAACACAATGTGAAAATAGCTAGTGGAGTTGAAACTGAAGCCATCTGCCTGAAATGAGACAAACGGGATTGAATATGTGGTGTCACATGCTTCCAGTGGTACTTTCTAAAAACTATTTTTGTTTTCTAAAGCATTGCTGGGAGAATTTATAGCTGCTTTCTGAAAATATCTATCAATATTAGCTGAGACAAAAAACGTTAACTGTCTGTTAAGACTTCCATGAATAGTTCCTGCTGGCAGAGGTGGTAGAACAAAAACAGGGTTTTTTTTGACATATCAAGCACTGAGGACAATCATAGTTGGGTTTTGTTACAGGTGAGCTTCATGGAGTCTTTTAAAAATGAAATCTAATGGTGTGAAACACCAAATAATACTATTACTGTTCAACATTATTAACTTTAATTTCCTGTTTCCTAGGTGCATGGGGATCTACACAGATACACTGAACATCTTCATTCGGGTGGTCTCCATGCTTGCAGGTGGTGGAGGTGGCAGGAGAAAGTAAACCGAGACTTCTTCGCAGTTGTCTGTCAGCCTATCTAGTGCACATACTAAATAAAAATTCATGGTTACAAGCAGTTTTGCTGCAAGTCAGAAGTTTAAAGCATTTCAGCGTATTGTTTTAGTGCAATATGATTCAGACTTCATCTTCAGACACTTTCCAGCTCTGTTTAAAAATAGTGTGAACTTCCTCTAATTGTACATTATTTGGGACAAGTAAATTATTTTTAATACATGAGTAAAATAGTCTATCTGCTTTTCAATGGTTTTGACAGCAGTTCAACTCTTCCTTTTTTTTTACTGTTACTCCATAGTAAAGGAAGTAATTTCTAAACTGGTATCCCATATGCAGATGGGGACACAAGCTACTTCATGAAGTGCTTGTTGGGATGCATCAGTTTTGATTACATAAATGATATTTTAGTGATACATTAAGAAGAACTGAACAAATTGGATATGGCACTAAATGCAGTAATGACTTCTGCCTGGGTAGAAATTTCAAAAAGGTTTAAGGAGTTGTCAGAAGTGAATTGGATTTGACAAGGTGAGGTGACCAAAAAGTATAAAGGGGACATGATGAGAAAACTGTGGCATATGAACTTCAGTCTCTTCCTGGAGTACATGTGAGAACTGCTTGCTTTAATGTTGACGGGATATAATAGCTAGGTTCTTTTGATGCTAGATTTATTAGATTGTTAAATAGCAATAGAGGCATGTCTTTCTTCCAGTGACTAAATTTCAGTTTTGCGGATGAAGCACTGTCATTCAGAAGAGCTCCTAGTGCTCATCTCTTACAAGCTTGTACAATTGATACAGAAAGAGGGAATTGAGGATGGCCTGCTGTAAACCCAAGTATCGTAAATTTCCCATACTGTTGTATGCTTTAGTTTGTTTCTGACTCTTATCCAAATTGTTATGTTTAGCTTGATCTAAAAGAAATGTTCCCTCTCAGTGAAATTGATTTAACATTAAGAAATTTATACTTACTGAACTCTATTGCTATAAAAGGGGATATCTTGGGCACAAGAAAGTTTTGAGCCAATGTCAACAACTCAGACTTTCAATTTCTGCTAAATATGCTATGTTTATGTATTGACTTATGGAACAATAAAATTCTATCCTCACAAGTTGATTACTCTCACTTCCCTTGTGTTCACAGAAATATTTTGGTACTCCTGCACTAATAACTTGGGGGAGTGTACCGTAAATATTTTTTTTACTACAGTTTCCTTTGTAAGAGAGTGCATATTCCTCTGTAAAAAAAAAAAAATCCAGAAAGATGATTGCCGGTTTCACTGGCTAGCATCTTTTTGGAGATCTTTCCCATATGGAAGATGGTCATCTATGCTTGTTTCAAGTGGTTCAGTTAGTGTAAGCTGTTGGCTACTGACTTGCAGCCAGTGCTGCATTTATGTCAGTCATATACTGCAGTATTTTTAGTCTCCTCAGTCATAAACAGTGGACTGTGAAGACCCTTGTTGTAACTCCTTTGTACCCAAAGATTATACGGTGCTATCTAGTTCCTGGCACTATTACAGCTGAAGGAAAATCTGTAGTACTTAGATGGAAAAAAATCTCTGGATCGTGTCCAGTGTAAGTAGCCTGTTTAGAGGGTTTTCTCTCTTTAAGCAGTTTCATATGCTTAATCAGTTTCTACATACTGTTGCTGTAGCTGAACGTAGCAGTGTGCTTGACCTAAAATTCTGAAATCTGCAGGGATTCTAACAAAATTCTAATATTTGTGTCTGTATTAGAAGAAAACTTGGGCAAAAACTCCTTATTTCTAGATTTTGAGGAAAAAGTTTCAGAGGCTGAATGAAGCAAGAGAAGGATCCTGGATTGTTTGAAACAGTAAGGTGTAGAACACAACACCCTACCTGAAGTGTTTGCATGGAAAGTGAGACCAACAGAAAGGTCTAACAGCCTTTTAAGAAAAAACAGGCCAAATAGAGCCTGAGGAAGCATGAGCACTCGTTTTTGCTCAGTCTTCTGAAAAGATGTGGCCTGACTCCTGAGAATGAGATTGTATCAGTAGGAAAATACTTGGTGCTATCTGGTTTGGGTCTCCAAAAAGGGAAAAACAAGATTAAGAACAGTTCCTTTACATTTGAAGTTCTAAGTGAAGAATTAAGATTTTTCTTAATTAAGACAGCTTTTATTTGGGGAGGGATGAAAATCTGAAATGTGTTAAGTTTGATAGGCACAAGAACAGGTGCCCATTTTTTTTCAGGGAAAGCATCTGTCTGAGAGCTGGTGCTGGCTTAGTGTCAGGCTACTCTCTTGGAATGCAGACAGACAACTAGGAAAACTTTCTAGAACTAAAAAAAGTGTTCAGATTTATCAGTATAACCTATTGGGGTGATGTTACTGTAAGCAATTTGTTTTGAGGTTTTTTTCCTTAATTGAGAGTTCTAATTGCAAAACCTGAGAGATTCTTTTAAGTAGGTATTAGGGTCCATTAAGTATGTCTTCCTCGCCAGCTTTGAGACCACATACAGCTGAGGAAGAACAACTTTTTTGATCTTCTAAACACAGAGTGCTTTAAGAAGGAAATCAGATGCTTTAGATCCTGAATTTGAGCCCTGTAAAAGTAACACTTTGGTTAGAACCTCTTAATGCCCTGTTTTATACGCTTCTGTAAACTAGGAAGGGAAAATGGTGGTTATTAGAAGGGTGTGAAGTCACAGAAATACAAAACTAGCTGAAGAATAGAGTTTAATTTATTTTCTTGAATAAAGAATGTTATTTTGTTGACTTTATTTTGCCCTTTCACTAGGGGGCTCTTGTACACCATGTTTTTGACAGTTGGCTATAAAGTCGTAAGAGGTTCTTTTTTTCCTCTTTTGGTGCATTGTTGGGTCAGGTCAAAGAGGGCTATATGTATTCCCTTAGTGACTTTTAGTAAAGATCCTTATTACAGAATTTTGCTGGGTGTTTTTAAATACTTTTAAGGGAAGTGAGAGAAATCGGTCACAAAATCAAGCAAAATCAGATTATTTCATGGTTTCTTCTTTCAAGTAAATAAACTCGTATTTAAGGAAAACACAGTTTTCATGTTTTCAACTAAGACTTTAAAAGTTTAGGATTGTTTAGTGAGAAGAAGCTTAAGCAGACACTTAACTGACAACGAACACAGGAGAAATGCATATTTCTGTAAAGCATAGCAAGAAAATAAAGGAATCATAAGTTTCATTAGCCAGAAACAGGACCATATTAAAATCATGATAAAATAGCGTAGAACCCAGGAACACAATTCAATGGGGAAAATTTCAGAACTTGCCACAGGTTAATAGGGGTTGTGATTAGTTCTCTTGAAGTCTTCAAGTTGCTTTTGGATCTTATGCTGTAGTGTAGTGGTTACTGAGAGCAATGTTTTGGTAGAAATTATGGAGGAGGTTGGGCTGGATGGTCAAGTTACAGCCTTTTTTAGGCTTGAGATGTAAAAGTCTATTTAGTAATTACACGGTAGGGGCACTTGAGAGTCTGTTTCATCAGCTCATTGAACAAGTCTGTCTGACAAACATTTTATTCACTTGGACTGCAGTTGTGTCCTTGAATTACAAGGGAAGAAAGTGGGGGTGAGGTGGAAAAGGTTTTCTGTTTTTTGTTTTGTTTGTTTTACAGGCAGTAAAATTGAGAATGTACAGTTTGGTAGATGGAGAGGATTCCGTGTAGTATATGCAGAAGACATGGGTTAAAAACTAAGGGCTCCCTCAGGTCCTACCTGTGGTTCGGGGAATTAGATAAATTTCATTGTAAATGCCACCTAAGATACAGTAGGAAAAGTGGGAAGGCAGAAAATATTCATAAGCAAACTGGAAACAGAAGACTAGAAAACTGCAGGCTGTAGTTTTATTTGCTGTATTAGAGGCAGTAATGACAACATCTGGGATATAGTAACTAGCAAAGACCAGAATGAAGAACAAGACTGAGATTATTTCTCCCACAGTTTGTGGTGAATTGATAATCACTTAGGAGACTGTCCTGGACCCAGGTTTAAAACTTCTTTCACAGATCTTTTTCAGCAAGTGTCTTGCCACTCCTCAGTTTGTGTCCTGCAAGTAAAGCCTCTGCAGAGCTGGCAGCTGACGTGCCTGTGAGTCATGTGTGGTGTTCTTGGTCTCTAAGCTCCGTGCGTTCACTCTTCTGGATAGCCTTGCTTTATTAAGGTGGAGCTTGTAGCTGTATTTATTTTGCTTGTTTTTAACATCCTTCCCGCAGGCAGTGCAGTGAAGATGATAAGTCCCCTTTCTCCTTGGTTTCTTACGTGATTTCTGTTCTCTCTCTAGTCTGCCAAGGCCTTAGATATGATGAGGGTCAGTGTATCTGATAGCTGTAAGCTTCTAAACAAAGAGCATACTGATATGAGGCAAGGCTTCAGTCCAAAAACATTTACACTGGATGCAGTGCTAAAAGTGTGCTATGTGTGAGAGAAACATTCTCTTCTTGTGGTAGTCCAGCCCTCCAGTTCAAACAAGATGTGGTTTAGGAAACCTTTTTTGACAGCTAATCTGCCAGAGCTCACACCTCTGTGACAGGGTGATGAGAGGAGCTGTGTAACCATCTCGTTATGGAAGCAGATCTGTTCCCACTCTGTGTCACTTCTTCCTCCAGAGTGGGGGAAAAAAAAAACACAGGTGCCTAGACAGGGAGTGTTATCCCTCTTGCCATTTACCATGGCTCTAGAAGATTCGTTCTTCTTTCACTCTCAGCTGCTGCTTGAGAAAGCACTTTTCCTTTGCTTTTTCCTTCCTGCAGAAAAATGATGGAAGAACAGAAGACACTATCGGGTCTTTCATACAAAATAACTAGGCTGGTTGCCCAATGCTTCGTTCCAGAAAAAATGGTATGAGGAAATGAAGTAGTACAACGACAGATGTCTGGGCAGGTATCTCGCTCTTCTTTTTCCTGAATAGTTAAGGCATTTAATTCAGCTGGCAGGCCTCCAAAGCAGAAAATACAGTGCAGCTGTCAGGCTCTAGAGCTTCTGGAAAGATTTTGTGATTGATGTGCATGTTGATCTCTGTCTTAAAAACACCGATAAATCTGTCTGTACTGATCTGACAGGAGGTGGTTTCAGGGATAGCAGAGGGAGTTTGTCCTTCCAGGTGGGTATAAATGCTGTTACTTAGCCACTGTGGCCTCTTTCTGGTTCTTCTGTACATTGTGGATACACTGATTATTTAACACAAAATAAGTTGGTAGTATGAAGTCCAGAAGTTGAGCTAAGGCATTTAG